GGGGGGGGGGGGGGGGGGGGGGGGGGGGGGGGGGGGGGGGGGGGGGGGGGGGGGGGGGGGGGGGGGGGGGGGGGGGGGGGGGGGGGGGGGGGGGGGGCGATTTGGTGCAGGGGAACGAGGTTCGCGCATATGTATCTGATTTCCCTCGTGTTTGGTTTTGGTGGCATGGCATCGTATCCGAGACACGGCTCGACAAAGCCACGTGCTGCTTCCTCTTGTCGTGCCTGGCGTGGCAACAGGTGGCGTGTGGGGGGCGGGTCGGGGACGGAGCTGGAAGGGGTACATGGGCAGTGCTTGGCTCCACGGGGGTGGGTGGGTCCCAGCCCGCACCATACAGAGAAGCCAGAAGATACACACGTGCAAAAGACTGCGGGTGATTCAAGATGCACAAAATAGGGCCGTTCATTGGAGGTCACCTTCATGAAGGGTACAATCCCCCAACGTCTGTCGAGGACAATTCCCTCTGCATTGCCATGATTCTATGTTCTGTGACTTCTGTACACAGTGCGTGCGGGCAGGAACCACTCAACAGCAAACAGTAGCAGCAGACACCCCGAGGTAACAACGACACCGACCCAGTGGGGGGAACAGAGACCCCCCCGAGCTCGGCAACAAGCGTTCGTTGTCTATACATAGTCCAAGCCTTTTCCCTCACGTGGTCCATATGTGGGTATCCCGCAGCCTTGGTGACCGCGTATCCCCCCAACAACGTGCCTGCCGGGAGGAGGTACATCTGGTAGTACTCTGGGGGGTCATCCGGCCGCTTGAACATGTCAAGCATCTTCTTCGTCACCTGCACGCAGGGGAATGAAAAGGCGGGCATGCCAGAGACGAGGAAGACGACAGAGGAGTGGCAGGCGCACGAGTGAACATTGTCGCGTGAAGACGACGCCCAGAAACTGCCATGGGGATACGTGGCCTACACGCTCGAGCATCGTGTTGAGAGGCTTTTTCTGGCAGACAACGACATACAAGTGGCGTGCCATATCATCCGTACCGCCAAGTACCACTGCCGATCAGTGAGTAGCATCTTGTTCGCCATCAGCTGGGGGGGTCGAGGTGCATAGAGGCAACAGGCGGGACACCATGTACCGAGGGACTAGTGTAGTTATTTAGGCGTGAACAAGATACACCCAGAGCAGACGGTCCAACAAGATACACCCAGAGCAGACGGTCCAATTTGACGGTAAACTAGACGAAACGAGGTGTTGTTCGCACATAAATTACCCTACTGTGCCTCAAGCTCCATGGAAGCGACAACACGCTAACTTGCCAGAGACCGAAAAAGACGACTTGGTTGAAAAAACATGTTACCATCTAGCGCGTTGGTTGTGTTGTAGCTCGATGAAGAGTTGGTCGGCTGGGGCCTAGGAGACGAACATGTTGCAGCATGAGAATCACAGAAACTGCCTGCGGCAGCAGCAGCAGCAGGAGCACGGCACGTTCGGTCGTAGACAAACACAGGCCACAAAACGACGGATGCAACAAAAAAGCGTTTACGCGTACCCCATACAAAAAGCACAAACCAAAACACCCACCAGGAAACCGCCCGAGATATTAACCGTGGAGATCAGCACCGCCCCAGCCCCGAGGATCTCCGCCGTAGTGTGCGGCACCAGGCCGGGCCCCATGAGGTACATGCCTCCCAAGGCCGTCAACCCCGAGATGGCGTTGGTCACCGCCATCAGGGGAGAGTGCAGGGAGTGGGACACCCCTTTCACAACCTGTGTGTGTGTGTCATGCCACATCGTGTCGCGTGGTCGGTCAAAGAGAAAAAGCGGGTGGTGATAATATGAGAGCACCACCGGAAGCGGGACAAGAGGCGGGAGGGTCGAAGTGATGGTGCGGTGGTGTTGAGTGGACGTCTTTCTGTGCCAACAACACAACCGCTCCCACACAGAAACGGGCATCATCAGGGCTGTGCAAAGAAGACAACCTGTTAAAAAGTCCGAAAAGTTTTGTCTGGAGGACAAGCACCAAAGGACACACTCAATGCGTTCGACTCACAACACACACCCCGACCCATTAACCCACGAGAGGGTGTCCGGCAAGACCACAGCCGCTAGCCACTACCCCACACCCTCATTCCCTTCGCCTCTAACCGATGCCTTTCGTTTCGTGGGTTCTTTCTTCTCCCTCCCAACTAGATGGCTGTCATACGGCTCGCCTGGTAGCCTACGATGCCCGACAGCGCGAAAGTCGTCATCATGTTGCTGAACGCCAGGTTGGGGCTGATCATGCCGAGCCCCAGCACCGTAGCCGACGTCGCCGTTGTCCTCATGGCGCTCTTCTTGTACATGGCCTCAATGTCGATCGGCACTGCTTCTACCTCCTACAGCAGCAGCAAAAGACAGGGGGGGGCTGGGGTGTACTCATAGTCGTGCATGCCGTAGTCGTTAGACCATTGACCTCGCATCCCTACAAAGCCGGGACGGAGCACGCCGGGTTCTCACCGGACCAGGCTCTCACATCACCAAGCGCGAAGCGCCGTGAGATATTCGGCGAGTCGCATGAAGGGTGCGCTGCATCCTGCTAAGGGTTTTCGGCATCTTGTGCTTACTTCCTTGCGTACGGATGACAGCTGCGTATGACTTAATTTATTTTCTGGTGCTTTCACTTCCAGAGACAGTTGTAAGCACTGTGTAACTGCCTCGAGGGTGCTTGACCATTTTAACACAACGTGGTGCGATCATCCCCCTTGCGCGGAGTGAGGGTTCTCCACCCCGCACAACATGATCTACTCGACCACCATTATGGTTACCGCCAAAAAAAAAAACGGAGGTAAAAAAAAAAACGGTAACCTGGTTGCCGAGTTCACGAAGTGACTTAGCTTGTTTTACAACGTCGTTGCCAAGCGACGAAAACCCAANTGACTTAGCTTGTTTTACAACGTCGTTGCCAAGCGACGAAAACCCAACCCCGATGGCAAACACCGGGGGGGGCGGGGGGCGGGGGCGGTCGATTCAAGATGGTGCCTGTCGTACACTAACTTTCCGATACCAGGGAGAGGCGGAGGGGAAGGCGGAGGAGAGCGGGCTGCGATCGAATACCGCTATTGCTTCTTATGGACACCTGGAACGGTCGGCATGGCCTAGACCGCTCATGGGCGTCATGGCAGGAGGGGGCTGATGCTGTCGCCTTCCAAGAGTGTGGCGCTTCCCTTCCCTCCTTTTCGACTACACTACGCCACCGGGGGTTCGGTCTCTTTTTGTTTGTCTCTCCCTCACTCGATGTGTGTCTCTCTGCCTCTCCCTCTCTTCTCACCTCCACCTCATCCTTCTTCGCGGGCGGCGGAGGCGGCGGCTTCTGCGGGGCCGGCCACGTTACCGTGCCGGCGTCGACGGCTAGGACTCCCCTCACGGCCTCGTCATTGTAGTCGATCTGGAACTTCTCCTTGTCGCTGGTTATCCGTCATGTAATGCGCCAAGCAGTAACGTCAGGGTGAGCTCTTGCGTTGAACATGCGTCTGTTTCCATGTCCGATGTATGCATTTGCATCAAGCACATGCACATTTCGATTTCCACCCCAAGGTACGTAGTGTTTGCACGTGTGTCAGTTTCCACTCCTGCTACTACCATGGAACGTGAACGACTAGTCCGCATGTCGTTTCGTGTCATTTCGTCCATTCTGTTCCGTGACGTGTCCACACACGTCGGGGCTGGACAGTAGAGGACGGTGTGGGACAAGGGCAAGGTCTTGGGGATGGCTTCGCTTTGCGTGCGCATTTGTGCTCCTTGTCCCACATACGACGCCTCCTCCAAAACTCGGAGTCGACTTCTGCGTACCACGGCAATGATTTATGTAGGCATTCTTCCGCGCGAAGAAGTCCCGCAGCCAGTCAGTCGAGCGGAAGCAGCGGCCGTCACCCGCTCCCTGACGACAATCCCAGCAAACCACACGAAGTTGAAACGCACGGGACAACGTCGCCCAGCAAGGCCAAGTCAAGCCAGGCCAAGTCAAGCCAGGCCAAGTCTACGCCAAGCCTACGCCAAGCCTAATGCAAGAGGCTTACCCCGTGCTGAACGGACCCGCCGAGGAGAAGAGCTTAACTACGTTGTTGGAGAAGAGGGTAGACGCCGTGTTGGCCAGCCGGCTGGTCATGTTCGTGTACCCAATACACGTCACGCCGTTGGGGGTCTTGTAAACCTGAAGAAGATGTCGGTGTAATGGGGGGGGATGGGGGGGAGCACAGGTGTGAATGTGCCTGACGTCAGCAAAAAAAGGATTGGAGTCGGGAAAGGGCTACAGGGGTTGGGGGTAGGCTCGACACCAAAAAAACCACGAGTGTTCGCGCTAACGATGTCGGTGTAGCCAGAGGTGGAGGCAGGATAAAGGGGCGCCGTAGGAGGGGGCACCGGGGACAAAAAAGCTCATGCATGTGGTATCCCCCGGTCCCGGGCAGGGGGGCCGGGGTTTGTGACTCACCGTACGGTAGTGTCTTGTGCGGGCTCACGAGAAAAACTGCAACGACAATCACGTCAGTAAAAACCATCTGCTTTGGTTCTTCTTTGCCTTTTTCCATTGTTCGAGAAACGGTACCGGTACCGCACACATACGCGGCGTTGTCTCCTGCTGCCGATCCAAAACACAAAACAACACCATTAGAGATACGCCGTGGCTGATGTCGACGCATCAGCGCCCGCCCTTCCTTGGACCGCTTGACTATTGTGCCCAAAAGCAACGAACAACAAGCTCAAGAGCTGCATCGCCCGAAAGTTCGAACGCAACGCCAAAAAGGCAAAGCCGGACACGATACGATAGATGCAAAATGGCTCGTCTGAGTCTTGTTGGCTTCCCGTCCACCACGAAACGAAACGAAACGAAACGGTTTCTCGGCACACACACCTCGTCCGCTCTCGTGGTGGCGATGTTCCCGCCCGTTGCAGCCGCGAGGTCGACGGTGACGCTCCCGACCTTCATGGAATGCACCATGGGCTGTTCCGTTCCGTGACCATCATGGCATGGGACAAATGTTAATGTTAACAACAACGGATTATCGACGAGGGGGGGAAGCCCGAGGGAGGCGGGGGGCGCAAGGGGATGTTCAGCGACATAGCTCAGTAGGTCGCCTACACGCATTGCGCCGGGGTGGGATAGGCGCAAGACATAACGAGAACATGTCTGCGCAACACCGGTGTACTTCCAACGGATCTCAGTAATCCCAACGGATCTCCCCGCATTGGGCAACAACATGCACATTTTCAGTGGCGAATCAGTCAACAGCATGTCTTCCTCTAGCCGGAAAACAAAGGCATGTCTCTTCCGTTTGACCGGCCGAAAGCATCACAGTGGAACAAAACGAGACGCAAGCTAAGAACCGGAGGTGGGACAATCGTCTCCTTTGCCGGGCAAGCCTGACCCTCTGGCTTCTGCACCTCCGCCCCCCTAAAACAAAAAACAAAACAAGCGCGGTAACCAGCACGAATTCGGTCCCACCCGTCTCGCCCGGGCTCCACCCGCACATCAACACCCCCCTCCCCCCCCCCGTATCTACACCCACCCACCCCATCCCTGCCCCGTATATACCTCCGTGATGAGACGAGGCGCCGGCTTCCCCGGGATGAGCGCCGTGCCGATAACGACGTCGATGCCCTTCATCTCCGCCGCCAGCATGCGCTCTGCCGCCTCGAACCACTCCTTCGACATCTCCTTGGCGTAACCGCCGGCCCCCGATCCGTCCTCCTGGAAAAATAAGAAAAAAGACAGGGGGGAGAAGAGGGAGAAGAAGAGGGAGAGGAGGGAGGGAGGGAGAGAGAGGGGGGGTGGGGGAGCAGAGAGGAGAAGATAATTTGAAAAGGGGAGTTTGACAAAAACAGCGTATCAACCTTCGTACCAAACAAAGCGGAAAGGCGTAGATTAAATGTGGGTCGTTTCGCAGCTCAACCGTGTCGCCTCGCCAATCAAAGCCAACCAACACTCTCTCCTTGTTATGAAAATCTCCCTCCACGTTTACGTCCGTCCCCAAGAAAAGAAACGCTATTATGTTCCCTTCCTCCACCAAATGCATAGTTTGATTTTCAACTCGCCCCCCCCCCCCCCCCCCCCCCTCCCCCCCCCCCCCCCCC